CGCTTCAACCAGTATACATTCTCAAACCACTGCTAGTTGCAGTGGCTCAGCATACAGGTCTAGTTCTAGTATAGCATGTCAGCCTTACGCGTAGCAGTACCTTTTGTCAGTAGTAGTTTTAAGTGGAACTCCTGATCCTCAGTTGTCAGGTCCCTTAACATGGGCATTCAACATCACCACTGCCCAGTGCCCCCTCCCACATACCACCACTAATCTCCCAGTCATTGCTGCCAACAGGGATTCCAACAATCCCACTCAAGTTTACTTCAAGTACATCCAGGAGCATCAAGATTAGGGTCTGGGGTCTCACTTTGTCCATAGTAGTTGCTTGTCTTTTGTATTCTATGCCTGGCTTTTTCAAGAAAAAAAACTTCTCTTTTACTGCCTCCCTATGCCTGCTAAGTGGAACACTCACACTAGAAACAACAATGTGACTCCTAACCTGGACCCACATTGTTGCCCTCTGGCTCCTAGGCATGACAATTCTCCAACAACTGGCCCCCAAAGAGCACCAACCCCTTACCCTTCCTACCTCCAGACACTAGAAGAGCGTTTCACAGCTGGAATAATAGAGATGCTGGCTCCTATTTGGCCTATCCTAAGTTTTTCTTCCCAACAAGAATCTGATGACTCTTCACTAGAATTTCTCAATGAGGGAGGTTTCCGCTACCCATTTGCACCCCTGCCAAACATCACCCTCGACCATTCCTTATCCCAGGACCCCCAGACTCCTCTAATAGCAATGCCATAGTTCTGCATCAATTTCCTGGTCCCCTGGAGATCCCTCATAATACCTCAGAAGCATCCACCAGATCTTACCACATTGCTCCTGCACATGTTTTCCCATCCTCATCACCTATAAATGTCTCCTCCTCCCCAAACCCTGACAGCACCACTGCTGCATCCACTGACTCTCCCAATATGCTGCCCCTTGCCTCTGATGTCTCTGACAATGGTAGCCTTGACCATGCTCCTAATCTACAGCGTCTAGCTAATGTCAGCGAGTACATCACAGCATCAGAAGGATACAGCAGCGATCCACAGGAGTTCATGGTCTATAGCGACGACACAATCCAACACCCCTCCAACAACATTACTCAATCTTGGTGATCCATTCCTTTCAACATCTCCACCCTTGTTCAAGATGTCAATCCCCTGGAATGAGTACTACCCCATGTCCCTGGAGCCTACACCAACTTCATTACACAACCTCCCATGGGCGTTCCAATTGATGGCAACCCAGCATTTGGATTATAATAAATCTTGATGACCACAGCAACCACACTCTGAACTGCCAAGCCTGTGGGAAATTGGAATCCTTCCAACAAGGAATGGGAGGAGGATACTTGGGAATATTTACTGACGCAGTGATGCGACCTCAGGAAACCTAACCCTAACTCAGGGGGGTGCAAAGTAGAGGGTAAGTTTCTGTTTCTCGGGGAAGCTGATGGGGGCGAGGGCTTGTAGTTCCAATAGCTCACTTGAATGGTGATGACTTCACTATGTTTCTCGGGATGGTGTCACAAGACTGTTTTGGACTGTCTGAACACTCTGACTTCTCATAGAAGTGGAGGGAAGGTAAAATGGAACCGGCTCGACGACTCGAACATGAAGTGCAATTCAATTGCAGACACCTGAGTCTTGTTCAGAGATTGAACGTAGGGACAGAACTTTGAAGTACTTAGTTGTATGCAAAGGTGTGCTTTGGAGGGGGGTGTACTAGGATGGGATGCAGTTTGATGGTTGTAGTCATAGTTTGGAGGGTTGTAGTTGTAGTTCTTAGGGATGCGCAACACTTCAAAGAAGTTTGAAGCCGGACTGAGCTCTGCTGAGTGGGGGATGTGATTCTGCATGAGTCTCACTACTAGGGGCCGAGTGCTGCATTACAATCATGCAAAACTGCTCTTAAATATCCCTCATCCTGCCCAAACCTCCTGGGTCACTGCCTCCACTGCCCTGACTGTGACTAATGATCCCCATATCCTTCCTATTCCCGTCCAATGCCTCCATCAGTTTCAACTCCTGTCCCATGCACTACACCCTGCTAGTCTCGGAGGCCCAACTGTTGCAAATCTTGACATTGCAACCCAAGCGCACCAACCTAAACATTTGCCCAGTGGCCCTGTATTGGGTGTCTCAGTCTCTGGATGATGGGGTTTTGCCATTGAAGTCGAGCCCCTGGAATAAAGCCATCACTGAAAGATCCTAATTGGATTGTAGTGAGGTCACAACACTTCAAAGATGTTGAAGAACAGGCTTTACTTGAAGACGTTTTCGTGTCGAGGTATCACAGGCTTCCCCAAAGGCAGAAGTTTTGAATGCTTCAAATGTTGAGTCCAACTCAAAGCACGCCCATGTGCTACGCAAGCCTATCAGCAGGATGACAACCTATTGGAGAATCTTTGGGCATCACTTCAACATATCCGGGATCCAGGAGTGACTGATGAAGCCGATTGTTTTAGAGCTGTTGACACAAAGATTGATCTACTTCTAGCAGTGTGATGATCTATAGGGGCGGAGCTTCTTCACACAGAGGAGGAGATGAGCCAATGTTGAATGCGTCTCAGAGCTGCCAACTTGGAAGAACACCTTGAACAGCACAAATTTTCCATTATCACCCCTCCTTCTAGTGCCATGCCTTGCCACCTTTGCTTCTGTACCAAATGTGAGGTCAATAGTCATCTTCAAAGTGAGTGTTAACATTGGTTGTGCTCCTATTGCAGACTCCTGCACCCGCATCATAAATTCTGCACTGCTACTGATGTGCAGCCAGGACAACTCCCTTGTCCCACTGTCACGCGATGACCCGCAATGACTCCAACCCTAACCCAAACCTAACCCTAAGCCTAACTATACTCACTA